AATCGATACCACGAGCAACGTCATCACCATCATCAACATCATCGTCATCAACGTCATCAACATCATCATCGCCAGCATCATCGGGACACCATCATCATCGCCATCACCTCACCAACATCATCATCACCATCATCACCATCATCGGGACAACATCATCGTCACCATCATCATCAACATCATCACCGTCGGGACACCATCATCATTATCATCGTCATCGGAACACCACCATCATCATCATTCCATCATCATGATCCTGAACAAGATCATCAACATCATCATCGGATGATCATCATCATCATCATTAGCAACATCATTATCAACACCATCGGAACACCATCATCGTCACCACTATCAGCATCACCATCATCATCAACATCATCGGGACATCATCACCATCAACAACAGCATCATCAACACCACCATTGGGCCACCATCATCAAACTCATCACCATCACCTCATCATCAAAATCATCATCAACACCATCATCGGGACACCATCATCGTCATCATCATTATCATCAGGACACCATCATCATCAGCAACCTCATCATCAACAGCATCATCATCATCATCGGGACACCATCATCATCATCACCTTCATCATCATCAGCATCAAATCATCTGACCATTATCAACATTCTCATGATGATCAACATCATCATCATCATGATCAACATCGTCGACATCATTATCATCATTATCGGGACACCACCAGCCATCACTACCATCACCATCATCATCATCATCATCATCATCGTACACATCATCATCACCAGTATCATCATCATCATCATCATCATCATCATCCTCATCCTCATCCTCATCCTCATCCTCATCCTCATCCTCATCCTCATCCTCATCCTCATCCTCATCCTCATCATCATCATCATCATCATCATCATCATCATCATCATCGGGACACCGACGTGACACCGGCGGGACACCGGCGAGACACCGCGCGCCACCAGCCCCCGAGCGAGACACCGGCAAGACACCTCGGGGCACCGGTTGCCGGAAGAGAGACTTTTGGTCCGGCCGCGCCTCAGCTACAGGAGGCTGATTTCTCGCCCGCCCACGCAGCTTCGCCTCGCCCGCAGGCACGGCACGCACGAACACGAAATCGAAACCGATTTCCTGGAAGGGGGCTCTCCGTTCCACTTCGATATCACCCCCTCACCCCCGATGAAACTTTGGCGCCTGTGGCGAGCTTCTCCAGAGTCTCGCAAACTGCCGACGTCCCCACCGCCCCCTCACTCTTAACCGCATCTGCGGGGTGCTACGGTATAAAGATGTTGGGGTGACGCCGATCTCTGGGCCATCTTGGATCGTCTTTGGAGCCTGATCGGCCGTCTTAGGGCTCTCTTCGGCCGTGTTGAGCCGTGTTGGGCCCTCTCGAGCCGCCTTGGGATCCTCTGTGGAGGCCTCTTGGACCAGCTTGGGGCGATCTTGGAGGCTGTTGAGCCGTCGTGGACGCTGCAAGGGCCCTAAAGTCGTGTCTACCCAAACTGTTGGAGAACCCAACGTTAGCCATGAACGGTTGCAACGGGAGGCCCTGCTGGGAGTGCACTTGGAGCGTTCTCGGAGCCTCCTTTCGGAAGGTTTTTCGACCGTCTGGAGGCCGCCTTGGGCTATCTTGGGGCCCGCTGAGGCCGTCTGGACGCCATCTTGGGCTATCTTGAAGCAATCCTCGGCCGTATTGGAAGCACCTTCGGCAAACTTGAAGGCCTTGTGGACTCGCTTGGGCCGTCTTGGAGGCGTAGGCCCTCCCGGCGGGCCCTTCCAGCGTCCCCGCCCGGGCCTTGCCACAATAGCCAAATACCACGCGCTGCTCCAGGTATAGGAGGAGAGATGACAGTCGGCTCCAACTTCGTCTCCAACATCTTGGCCAGCAGCGCCAGCGCCCGCTGCCACTGCTCGCTTTTCCCGCACGCACTGATCCCCACGTTGTAGCTGACTACTGTGGATCTGGCCTCCAGCTTCGCTTCAATCAAGTCGCTGAGCAGCGACAGCGCCCACTGCCACTGTTGGCCTTTACCACACGCGTTGACAGCCTGAATGTACCGACTTGGGCTGATATTCGTACATTGTCGGGATGCCTCGCGGAGCGATTGCAGCGCTTCGCTCCATTCCTCTGTCCTCCCGCGCGCCTTTGCGCTCACCTGGGAGAAAGACGCGCCTGGCCGAGACCGCCACCAGATGTCTGACATCAGAGGGCCTCTTGAACCAAAAATGGCGTTAGGATAGTACTTGAATCGCGTCGGGCCGTCGGTAAACCAAACTCTGATCTGGCCAAGCTGGTCGATCTCAGTATCGACTCAGACCAGTCGACTCAAACTAACCTTGCAGGGTCTTTAAAACCCCACCTCCAACCGGGGATAACTAATTCATTCTCGGCAGCCTCATTCACGAGCTGGGGTCCCACCAATGGGAGGTGACTAAATTCTGCTTCCCGCGGCACCAGCCGCGCAACAACGACGCCGACAGCTACGACTACGATTGCGAGTAGGACTACAACGACCACTAGTACTTTTGCCTCAGAAACGCTCTCACTCTTCCCTCCTTACCCTTACCCCTCTTTCCAACTCCTCCTCGTCCTCCTCCTCTTCCTCCTCCTCCGCCTCCTTCCCTCTTCCTCCTCCTCCTCCTTCTCCTCCTCCTCCTGCCTCCTGCCTCCCCCCTATCCCATCAGCAATGACACGAGAAGGAGCGGGAGGAGGACGAGAGGGAGAAGGAGGAGGAGGATAAGGTGGAGGAGCAGGGGGAGGAGGATCAGGTGGAGGAGGAGGAGGAGAAGAAGGATCAGGTGGTGGAGGAGGAGGAGGAGGATGAGGAGGAGGAGGAGGAGGGGGAGAGGGGGGAGATTCTAGGACCAGTCCGATTCACCGCCGAAAGAAAAGATGGGGGGGCAAAACCGTGAGATGTTGCGGTCAGGAGCGTTTGCCTCGCGCGTCGCGGCGGCAGCCCCGACGCGCTGTGCCCTGTCGCTCTGCCTCGCGGGGCAGGGGGCTGGGAAGAGAATGGAAGGCTGACGCTTGGGGGCTGGGTCTTGGTCAGCGCGTCGCGCCGAAGCGTGGTGGGCCAGAACTGGCGGAGGGATGCATCAAGCTCAGGATCCCGGTGAGGGCGCGACGTCAGTCGCGCGTCGTGCCCCGCGGTGCGTGGCTCGCTTCGCGCCCTCTCGCTCTCACGTCGCAGCTTCTGTTGGCAGTGCGCACAAGGGGGTGGAGGGAGGGGGGTGGGCTTCTTAGAAGGAGGTTGCTTCTTAGAGGGTGCCGGCCTTACATCTGCAGATGAGGCCCGCGCCTTCTAAGCGGGGGTGCTTCTAAGAAGCCCTCCCCCCTCCCCCCACCCCCCTCTGCGCGTGGCTGATTCTTGAGGAAGAGAGCTCCCCCGTCCAGCGCGCTGGGGCGCGAGGCGCTGCTGCACGTGCACAGCGCGGAGGGCGTGTCAGCTCCCGTGGCGGCGCTGGGGCAGGTGCGCCTCGCGGGGAGCTCTGGAGCGGAAGTGGGAGGGAGGAGGAGAAGGAGGAGGAGGAGAAGGAGGAGGAGGAGGAGGATGAGGGAGGAGGGAGGAGGGAGGAGGGAGGAGGCGAGCGGGCCCAATGCAGCTCGAACTGTGGCTGAAAAGACGTCAGGTGTCATGTTGCCCCCATCGCACTTGAGGACGACATCGCAGGAACAATGTCGAGCACCCCGAACAAGATCGAAACGGTGTCGAACGAGGATCGCCTCCCAGGGCCCGACACGTGAAAACCCTCCAGCGTTGGTACTTTCTTGGTGCTCGAAATGAATGATGCCGATCAAGGCTGAAGCAGGTCGGAGCATCATAAGTCAAGTGGGGAAGAAGATTGCAACAGCCGTCTTCTGCGGGCAATACTTCTGTCCATATCCACTGCAGTATGGAGTTTCGGGCTCCCTTCCCAAGAAACCCGAGGCGCACTGGATATGGATAATGTTGCCCCCTTAGAGGCTCGATTTTTATCCATATCCAGTGCGCCTCGGCCTTGTGGCGCCGCTTCAAAAAAGTCCAAGAGGCACTGGATATGGACATGAATATTGCCCGCGTCCTCGAAGGAGGGCACGCAAGCATGGATGAAGGCACGCGGGTTAGCGACGTGCCCCATGTCCATATGAAAACCGACGCGGACCGTAGCCGAATCAAGCGGCACTGACTTCATGCTTCGGGAAGTGCGGTCCCCGATCCGTGTCTGTGGAGCCCACGCGCCATAATAATTTTGCACGCCCGAAATTGGCACGAAAACAATGGGCACAATGCCCAACAGCAAATGCTGTCCCAAGCCAACCGCGGCCGCTGTTGGGCAGGCGGCCTCCTGTCTCAAGTGGTCACGGGCCGGGGGGGCGCGGACAGCGAGCCCTGTTCGAAATGAGCAAGAACTGCTGTTGGGCATTGTGCCCATTCTTTCCGTACCCATGTCGTTCGTGCAGAAGAATGATGAATTCGTAATCCATCTGAACGTGCACCAGGTGAGATACGAAAGTCGCAACTCTGTGACAGCACATCCCGTCCCGAGCATGGTACGCCGGCAGAAGTCCAAATCCAAATGCTAAACGATTGCATCGACCACGCCTTTGGTGTCCATCACCGTGGGCCGTTGGTGCTCGGCCGGCAAGCCGATCGGATGAATTATGTGAGAGCCGGACACGATCGCCTCTTCAACAAAGGCGCCGTGCCAATACCTACGGCTGTCCAAACCCACGTGCATGTATCCCCCCTCTCTTCCTATCTCCCGTCTTTCTTCCACATGTTTCTTCCCCTCCCTCTTCAAACCCTTCCCTCCGCTCCCCATCCCCCCCGCCCTCCTTTCCTCAGTACCCCCCGGCGAATGGCGGCGGCGTGAACGGACTCTTGATAGCCTGACCGCCCGACCCGACCACACTCCCCCAACCACCATCGCAGCTGCCCGCAAAATGACCAGAAACCAAAACGGACAGTCATCCAAGGCACAGGGCATACACACAGCGCTGGGACATGACATTAAACTACGCCAAGACGATAACTGCACAACGACATAAGCTTTCCTTGTCCCCGACGGAAAAAGGCGTCCCGCCTTCATTGGTGACTAGCACGGAGCCCATGTCCTTCGACTTGGCAACGTCTTGGAAATTCACTCTCTTGTTCATGGCGTACGAGGTGGCTGCACGGACGAAACCCTCCAGTTCGGCACCGGAAAAATTCTTTGTCTTCGCAGCGAGTGCGGGTATGGAGACCGCGCTGTCCAGGTAGCCTTTCGCCCGGGCAGTTTTGGTATGAATGTTCAGAATCTCGACGCGGCCATTCTCGTCGGGCAGGTTAATCTCCACATGAACCTCCAGCCGCCCTGGCCTCAGCACTGCTTCGTCAATAAGATCTATTCGATTGGTCATGCCGATGAGAAGGATGTTGTTCAGGGAGTCGACACCATCGATCTTGGACAGAAGCTGGTTGACCATGCTGTCATTGGTTCCTGTGCTATCGCCCGTCGACCCTCGCGCCTTGCACATCGAGTCAAACTCGTCGCAAATGATCACGTGGAGCTGCGAGTTATCGCCCTGCTGCTTGTATTCCTTCCATAGCTTCTCAGACTTCAATACTCTTCCCCTGATCCTCCGTCAAACTCCCGCTTCTATTCTCGCATTTCCGAAGCCTCATCCTCCTCTCCGTCTCATCCCCCCTCCCCCCCTCCTGTTCCCCTCCTCCTCATCCTTCCCCTTTCCTCCGCCTCTCCCAAGCTTGGACCGACGATCGGAGGTTGGGGGGTGAGACCGAGATAAACTGGAGCCGCCCAACAGCGAATGGGACTTTGGATTCGGATCGTGCCGTGCGTGACGAGCATGCGGGCTAAGTGAAGCTGTGCGAACTCCTGCTCTAATATAGACCAAGACAACCCCAAATGAGTCGCCCAGGACCGGCCACTGTACACGAGCTGTCCCCATAGTTGTCCCGACGGTTGCCCCGATAGTTGTCCCGACGGTTGTCCCGAGGGTTGTCCAGGCGGTTCTCCCGATGGTTGTCCCGACAGTTGTCCCGACGCTTGTCCCGATGGTTTTCCGATGGTTTTCCCGATGGGTGTCCGATGGCTTTCCCGATGGTTGTCCCGACGGTTGTTCTGGTGGCTGTCCCGATAGTTGGGCCCCAAGCCATCATACAGTACAAACGCGCTGTGCGAGACCGTAACACAACAAACTGCGGATACAATGAGACATACAAAGAAGACAACGCCCACGCCCTGGGGGGCAAAACCAAAGCTGCTCCAGAATGGGAGAAGTAGACAGAATGATGAATAAAAACCTGTGAAGACACAATGATATATGGATAGAGCCGGCAATGAACAGATCTGTTGATGGGCAGGTCGGTAAAAATATGAACGTAGAAACGACTTTCCCGATGCTTGCCCCGATGGTCGTCCTGGCAAACAGATACTGGCATCGACAAAAAAAGATTGATGGAAGTGATATTGGTGGGTACATGCCAAAAAATAGATAATGAGACGATACCTGGACGATCTGCATACCGATACATGTGCAAAAAAAAAAACATGTCGATTATATGATGTGTATGGGGTGATGGTAGGATACGTATATATACACCTATGTGTGTTCGTGGGTGTTCCGTTGTATTTACATGTGCATACGAGCTACTAGTTGTTAGTAATGAGCCGGTCGATACATCGACAGATATCGCATCAATCTAGATGTCCCGATGTGTGTCCACTCGTGGGTGGAATTCCGCGTCCAGTGAAAATCAAAGATGACATTCAGAACAGAAACAAACTTCCGCATCACCCGAAGAGCGGTCTATGGGGTAGCTCAGTATCAGTGCCTCCCCCGTCCCTGCCCCCTAACCCTCTTCCTCCTTCTCATGTACCTTCCCCCCCCTCCTCCGCATCATCTCCCCTCTCTTCCCAATATTCCCTTTTCTCCTGCCCCGATCACTATCCTTATGCCTCGCTTCACACGCATCCTCGTCATGTCCTCCTTTCCCCACACACGCATCCTCGTCATTTCCTCCTTTCCCCATTCTCCTTACCCGCCTCCTCCCTCCTCCTGCTTCCTTTAAGGTCCCTGGCTCTGGAGGTCCCCAGAAGGAAGTCTCAGGAGATCCTCAGATTGAAAGAGCGTGGACCCCAAACAGAAAGTCGTGGCACTCTTGGTTCAATTAAGATCACGCGCGGGCTACGTGCGATGTATATTGTGCGAACTATGTGGTGCAAATTGTGTTGGGTAAGCTACGCCGCGCGGTGCCAGGAATGCGGTCTAAGCTGTGAGATAATACTTGCGGCGCACTCCTTGGGTGTACGCTGTGAGGTGCAAGTTAAGTTGTGCGGCGCAAAATTCTACGTGGCGAAAGCTGTGTGAAATACGCAGCATGGTGCAGGCTGTGTGGTGCAGGCTGGGTGGTGTAAGCAACGCGGCGCTATAGATGAAGAACACAACGGCACTGACAAAAACTGTTGGCGCTCCGCGCGGACTTCTTGGATCCGCGCCAGGCACGAGAAACCCCACGGGTGCCCACGGCCAACCTTAAGGCGGGCATGTCCCCCGACAGGCGGATTTTGGACGACAAATAACAAAAAAACACCCGGAATGCTCCAAAACGGTAGAGGAACAATCGACATGCCGTCCCCTGATTTTTTGTTTGGACTAGTTTTGCATCCTCCTCCGGTAGAGGAAAGGGACAGACCCGACTTGATTGAGGCCAACCCACACAGCGCGCGGGGCACGGGAGACGAGGCGTCCACGGGTACCCACGGGCGGGCACGCGGCGAAACCCTGGCACGGACCCGCCCAGTCCCTCAGGGGAGACAACTGAGATCCCCCTCGAGTGCGAGCTCCGTTTGGGAACCGCACGGTGTTTTTTTTCGTCAGCGGCGTGGCGGCGAAATCGGCTCCAGCGAGAAGCTGGACAGGGGCACAAACTGGCGAGTTTGCCGGCGGGCAGAGAGGGTGGGGGGGGACGGCCGAGAGGAAAAAGGGACGCAAAGAAGCAAAAGAGTTCGAGCCAAACGATACATGCCAGTCGGACAAACAAATATGTAAAAACAGGAAGTAGAAAGGCGGATAGGGTAGACTGGCTCCAGGCCCTCCCAGAGAATGAGAACACATGCCATGACCTTGCCGATGCTTGAAATAAGAAGGCGCTAGAAGTAGATTGGGATCTGGGAATCCAAGAACACCTACTTTCAAAGACTGGCGTGTAATCATCACTTTCAGAGATGGGTCGCCGCTGGGCTCCCTCCCATGGCGCTCGAAGTGCGCCAGGGGCAGCTCCGGAGGCGCCGCCGCCAAAGGGGGGGATCCAGCGCCGATCCAAGAAATCCGTGCGGGCGTTTGAAAACTCATGTTTTGAGCATCGTGGCCCCAGCTGCGTGGCCTGGGGCCCGCTGGCCGATTTACCCATCCCTAGATCGGGATATAGGCTGCTCCCTTCCGGTTTCGAGGGGCATATCCCCAACTGAGGTGGTGAGATGGTGGAGGCTCGAGGTGTGGATGGGGATGGGATGGGGATAGGGATCGGTTAAACGATACTCACTTTGTCGACTTTCTTCGACCCGCCGCCTCCGCCAAACGCGGCGAAAAGCTCCCTACGGGCAACCTCCAAGAAGAGCCGGCGCCCGCGAAAGGAACGAAGCTTGGCGTGGCCGCCCGGCCTTCTCGCCCCCCCCCCCTCCCCTGCTGGCTGGGAGGGCGATGCCAGCCCGAAGGGGCTACTACGCAAGCAGATCGCAGAAGGGGGTGAAGGGAGGAGGAGGAGGAGGAGGAGGAGGAGGAGGAGGGCGATGAGGAAGGGGGAGGAGGAGGGGGTGAGGAGGAGGAGGAGGAGGAGGAGGAGGAGGAGGGAGGAGGAGGATGAGGAGGATGAGGAGGAGGAGGAGGAGGAGGAGGAGGAGGAGGAGGAGGAGGAGGAGGAGGAGGAGGAGGAGGAGGAGGAGGAGGGAGGGGGAGGAGGGGGAGGAGCAGGAGGGGGGACGAGGAGGGATTTCTTGAACGCGTGCTGGCGTACTCCGATGCCGCTGGCGTGCTGCCCCGCCCGGGGCCACGCCCTGGAGATCTCAGGAGGCCCCAACGCAGGGAGTGCGAGGCCGGGGCTTACAGTAGGGGCCCGACCACAAGAAACCTCCCACAAGAAACCCAACTCTGATACCCCAGGACGTCAATCGAACTTTGGTGTGGGAACGTCACGCTTTCCTTCGCAAAACCATCGAACTCCAAGAAACCCAAGGCACCCTGGAGGCAAGGAGGGTGTGTCTTGGCATGGGCCTCCACTGTGTCCATATCCACCGCCTGGAAATCGACGTACTGGTACCCCAGCGGACGGCGAAATTGGTGCCCCCGGGAGCGCCAGCGGCCAGAGGCGAAAGAAAAAGGAAGCGGCCAGAGGCGAAAGATAAGTTTTCGTGGGCATCGATCGAGTTCGAAAGCACCCAAACCTTCAACGCACTGAAACAAAACCATGACGGAATTGCGATTTCTCCGTTTCCGTAGTTTTCGTCGCATGGGGGCCCTCGCCAAGCCCCAGGACCGTCAACCAACGAACACGTTTGCCCCCCAGGGCCCCCGAATATATCCATATCCACCGCCGTCTGTCGAGCTCCGCGAAGATCGACCCCCCAGGCGGTGGTCATGGACATCTCCGCCTCGGATGGAGGCTTCCGGCTTCTGGCCGGCAGACCGCCGGGCCGCTGGCTTGAGCGCTCTGGCTTGAGCTCCGACGGCGGTGCGAGGCTTAGGATCCAAGGGCGCAGGCGGAGAGCGTCGACAGGCGTGCGGCTCCGACGTGAGCCAGCGATTCGGCTGCACGCCCCCTCCTCCCAAGAGGGCCCCCCAGGCGGGCGTCTCTGCGCGAACCTCGACGGCTGCCGGATTCCCGCCCTCCTTGCTCTGAGGATGGCCTCGCTCGGGCCAGCGGGCGGCGAACGAGATCGCCCAGCTTCGCGGGTTGCCCTCCCCGTGAAGTTGGGATCGGGGCTACGGCGAGGGGTCCTTCTCGGCATCGGCGAAAAGGTTCCTAATGTTCTCCTCCGACTGCCCCACGTACTTGTTCATCATCTGTCGGCCGGTAAGGGGCGGCGAGGAACGACGTGAAGAGAGTGGCCGCGCAGGTCCCTTGTTAGACGGGCCAGATGGGAAGGGGGGATGGGTGCACGGTTTCCCACGGGGCCGTAAACGACCCGAGCAGGAAAAGGAGGAGGAGGAGGAGGTGGAGGAGGGGAAGGGGGAGGAGGAGGAGGTATGAGGAAGAGGAGGAGAGGAGGAGGAGGAGGAGGAGGAGGAGGAGGAGGAGGAAGAGGGAGGAGGGAGGGGAGGAGGGGGAGGAGGAGGGGAGGAGAAGGGGGAGGAGGACGGGTCGCCTAAGCCCTTCGGAGAGACCCTCCAGGGATGGGTGGGGGGGGGCGGAGGGGGGGGGGCTGCCGCGCACAGGCAGACAAGCGGCGGGCCCCCCCTCCTCAAGCGGCCCCCCTGCCCCTGCCCAACCCCGTCCTCCTCCTCCTCCTCCTCCTCCTCTCCTCCTCCTCCTCCTCTCTCCTCTTCCTCCTCCTCCTCCTCTTCCTCCTCCTCCTCCTCTCTCCTCCTCCTCCTCCTCCTCCTCCTCCTCCTCCTCCTCCTCCTCCTCCTCCCTCCTCCTCCTCCTCCTCCTCCTCCTCCCCCCCTCCCCCAGCCGTGAGCGGGCTTCGGCCCAGGCTGCCTAGTGGCGCGCTGCGCGGGGGGGGGGGGGGGGGCGGCCCACGCAGGGCGCGCAGCGGCCCTGCCGCTGCAGGCCACGGCGACGTGCGCAGACCCCGCGGAGCGCCCTCGCGGGGCGCCCGCCCTCCGGAAGCCCCGCGGGGCGCGGGGCGCTGCGCCGCGGCGCGCGGAGGGCGGCACGGACGGCGCAACGTGGCGACGTCAGCGAGGAGCCAGGAGGGAGGAGAGGGCGAGCAGCCAGGCTTCGGTCGGGCATGCCCCCCTGCAGGGGGATGGTGGGCGCGAAAATCAGAAATAGCCAGAGCATATCCCCAAATGGTCAAACATGTCCCAGACATCGTCCCCAGAGGCTTTTGACGATTTGGGAGCATTCCTCCTGTGGAGGGGCACGTCCGACTTCAAGCCAGGGGCGCGGCAAGCACTCGTGAAGCCGACGTCCCAACGGCTTCGGGCCGCAGTATTCTCAGGGCTCGAGCACTCAGGGCAGCACTCACGATTGGAGCCTCGAGTTGCCTAAATGAATTACCCATCGGTCGGAATAAGTAGGTAGAAACATGAAGTAGGAAGGCGTTAGGAATAGATTGGGTGTCCGCCCTCCTCCTGAAGAGGAGGGAAGAGGGAAAACCACTCGACTCTTGAAGTAGGAAGGCGCTGAAATTATATTGGAATCTGGGAATCCAAAAATACCTACTCTCAACGACCGATGGGTAACGCTCGTGCGCCACGCAGGCTGGAACGGGCCAGCCCTCTGCAAGAAGGGGAGCGGCGCCTCGGGACCGTTGACTATCTTGGGCTCGGCCGCCTTCAGGAACTTGGCCAGCTGCCTGCACCGCCCCCGCTGCCGCTGCTGCTGCTGCTCCTCCTTTCTGCTCATCATCGCCATCATCGAACGACTCGGCATCATAACGGATGACAGCGATGCCACACCCCTGCCGGGCTACTGTGAATCGCTCGCTGAACCCATTCTGAATGTAATTGGTCGGGTTGCAGAGCACAGGCGACACTTTTACAACTTGCGTGATCCAGCGAATCTGCCTTTCGTGGTAGGACAGCCTAGGGGAACGAAACATTGCATAAACATGCAAACTCGGAGGTCCGCGCGAATTTCTTGGATCCGCGCTGGACACCCCTCCCAAATGCGCGGAATGCTCAAGGGGCGGCGCCCGAGGCGCCGTCAGGGGGGGGGGTCTAGCGCGGATCCGAGAAATCCGTGCGGACATTTGAGTTGTTATGTTTATGTCTTTGTTCGTCCCCCTATAAGTGCACAGAGCCCTCACCCTGATCCTTCTCCCTCTCTTCCTCGTCCTCCTCCTCCCTCCAGGTCGTGAGCACATCTCTTGCGAAAGTCCGCTCCTCCCCTCCCTTTCTGCGCCCCGTGCCTCTCTTTCCTCGTCGCCCCTGCCCTCCACATCCTCCTCCTGCTCCTTCTCCTCCTCATCGTTATCCCCATCGCTTTCGACCACCTCCCCTTCTCCACCATCACCGTCGACCTTCATCTCCCCCTCCTCCTCCTCCTCCTCCTCCTCCTCCTCCTCTTCCTCCTCCTCCTCCTGCTCCTCCTCTTCCTCTTGGAAGTGAAGTGCCGCGGACCTATATGTTGAGAAGGCGACGCGCCAAAATGCCCTACACGTCAACGTTCCATGTTTACATCTTCGTAATGCGGGATGACGATTAATAAAAAATGGGAGAAGACGATTGAACACAAATCGTTTTCTGCGATTCCTGCATAATTCTGACAAGAGGAGAACGAAAAAAAATAGCTCTCCAGCCCGCGGCCGTTTTTTTCTAAACGTCATCCCGGGCGCCGCCGCGTGAACACGACCCCCAGTCATTTATTGATCGTCATCCTCCATTATTCGGCGGAGGCGCTGAGCGTGTTATGCCCGCGTGCGGCAGCAAAGCATTGGCCTTTTTATTATTGTGGCGTTGGCGTGGCAAGGAATTTTGCCCGGCAGCGAAGACGCGGCATTTGGACTGCCCGTGTGCCCGCAGGAGTGCGCACTCTCGTTTCTCGGGAGCGGCCAAGAGGGGGGGGCCCAAGAGGGGGGGGGGTGCAAATCATGACCGGCGGCATGAGCACGGCCCAGCGGGGGGGCCAGGGACGTAATGAAATAAGAAGAGGCGCCATGACATCTGGGAAAATAGCATGGCCCCCGCCATGATATCCCCCCCCCTAGTCATCACCCCCCTCTTTGCCGCCCCCGAGTTTCTTGTGCTAGGCATGCTGTACGGGGCCCGGTTTTTAGGATTTTTGGGGACAATCCCCAGGCCCCGAGAAAAAACCCAAAAGGAGCTGACACAAATGCCAAGCATACACAGGAGGGATCGAACAGACACGAGCAGCCTCCCAAGGGAAGCTCTCAGTGCAGTCAAGTTGCGCGGCGTGTTACCCAGCCATCGAAATTCTTAGATTGGATAAAAAAAGCTGTCCCGTGTTCCCCGCTGGGCGAAAACATAGGCTTGGCATGCTTAAATTTGGCGGGGGGCGGTCGCATAATTTCCCGCAAGCGAAATTTTGAACGCCGCACTTCTTCTTAATTCAACAGGGGCCTTGGGCACAAGTGCCGCACGACTAATAACAAGCAGAACTTGAACACATGGGTGTACACTCATCGGGATGTGGGAGCGCCTTCTGGACCCACCGTTCTCTCCCCCTTACGCCCGGTGCGGTGCGGTCGACGACTGAAACTGGTGAGCCCTGGCCCAGGGAAGGGTCAGTCCGAACTGCCGTCCCCAAAACAGCCAGGGCGCTTCACAGAGACCTCCAGTCGGAAGGGTGAGGAGAAATGGGAGGAGGAGGAGGAGGAACGAGCGATCCTCAAACATCCCCTGTGCGAGCATTTCGGGGGGAAGGGTGGGGATGCTGCCGCCCTGGTCATGTTTTTTTTTCTGGTCGGCCCAACGCCGCCTCTCGAGTGCACCACATTCCGCGCTGCGTCCCTGGAACGGCAACAGATGTACGCCACCGATTTCCACCGTGGAGGGGCATTGCGCCCCTCAACGGTTGCCACCTGTTTCCCCGCTTCCCCCATCCCTCTCCCCCCTCCCCCCTCCCCCTGTATTCTCCCTGTCCTCCCTCTGCCCCTTTCTCAGCCTCCTCCTCCTCCTCCTCCTCCTCCTCCTCCTCCTCCTCCTCCTCCTCCTCCTCCTCCTCCTCCTCCTCCTCCTCCTCTCTCTTCTCTCTCTTCCCTCTCTTCTCCGGACACCTACTCTGTCCCCACGCCCTACTCCACTGCGTCCCTCCTGGCCTTCCTCCCCGCACGCCGTCTCCTCCCCCTCGGCGAGGGGCCCTCGCCTCCTCACCACCGCCCCGGGCTGGTGCACGGCGCTTCCCCCGCCCGAGCGGCCGCCGACCCAGGGCAATGCATACTCTGCAGACGAGCACTGCGCGGAGGGCGCTCCCCAAACAAAATCCTAGGGAGGAGGAGGAGGAGGAGGAGGAGGAGGAGGAGGAGGAGGAGGAGATGGAGGAGGAGGAGGAGGAGGAGGAGGAGGAGGAGGAGGAGGAGGAAAGCATCGGCCAATAGGCGAGCATCCCGCCAGCGGTGTTCCTGGTGTGCTGCCGGCGGCTAATATATTCCACCGAGCGCTGCCCAACCAAAAGTCAACGCAACGCGACCGCGGGGGCACAAGCTAAGTATCGTGCATCATGCTTTCAACCCCTGGAGGACTTTGCTCTGGCGTTTCACAGGGATGGTGGAGGGCCGACAGACCGCCCGATGCGTCATGTCACGTGCACTCGCAGCCCCTTTCGCACATTGCGCATGGCGCGTACATAGCGCATCGCCTGGAACACGTGGACCATTTGGCTCAGGTACCACATCTAATGCACCATACGCGCCTGGCACGCACGGACATCTGGAGCATCTGGCGCAACAGGAGCGCGTGGCGCACCTGGCACGCGTGGCGCATCTCGCGAGCGCGTCGCACCTGAGTGGTTACCAAGGGCTGTCAATCGGACAGCTGCCACTGCCTATGCTGAGGCTCGGGTGCTCTTGTGGGAGGGCGGATGGAAATAGTACGCCTGACAGATTTGGCAGCGCTCTGTTTTGGACAGTGACTCTCCCCCCTGAAGCTCCGAACAAAAACGGGCGCAACGGGCATGACTGTTCGGAGGTCTGCGGCGCAGAGCTCTTGGGTCGGCGCTGACCCCACCCCCCAGCGGCGCCCCTGGCGCCGCTCCTGGTGCGCTTCGCACGCCAGCAGAGGGGGGTCCAGCACCGGCCCAGGCATCTTGCGCGGATCTCCCAAAAGACTTGTGCTCATGAGTCGTTCGCGCTGCTGCCCCTTCCAGCCCCACGCCCTCCCGAGCCTGGCGATCAGAGTCTTGCCCGTGCCGGGCGGGCCGTACAGCAGCATGCCACGGACGTGGTTGATGCCCAGGTCCCTGCCGCCCCCCCCCCAAGCAGCGAACGCTTCGGACACGGAGCACGGCAGGGCAGGGGAGAGAGGTGAGGAATTGCACGGCAGGAGCGCTCTCAAGTCACACGCCCTGCAGGAGAACGTCCAACGTCGGATGCTCCAGCGTCAACGAGGGGTGCGGGTACGGAGAGCGCCCTGCGAGATAGAGTCGAGTCTGTGGCGGAAGAGCGCAGGGAGAATATCCAACATCAGAGCAAACCCTGGAGGGCCACGATGAACAACGACGCTCTGCAGGGCTTGAGCAAACAAACTGTCATGAAAACCCATGGGCACAACCATGTGCCTACACTAATAGCTCGGCCAGCCTCACTAACCCTGTCGAGGAACTCACCACATTCTTCCCACAACTCATCTGAGCACCCATCGAGATGGCAAACGGAGGAAACCAGGCTTGCATTCCATCAAAGATTGTTATCTTGCGCCTTCGCAGACTCGATCTTGCCGACAGCCTGGGTATCTGTCCAGACCTGTCATAGGGAACCGAACTTTATACACCAACGCTTTTTCCGACCCTGCGCTGAAACTCTCACAAGAAAGCGGATCCTGGTGTGTATGTGGTTCTGGTGTATACATTTTTCGTTGTTTCCCTGGGGGAACGGGGAAGAAGTATACACCACACCACCCCGACGTCGTCCCCGACCCTCTAAAAGTCCGGGGATTGAAAAAGAGCCCGCCACTCGTAATGTATATGTTCCAGTTTCCGATGGAAACCAAAGGAAGAGACACAAGCCCATGCTCGGCTGGGTGGTTTATCAGTGGTAGATCCGCTTGCCGGGTGACGGGGAGACTCAGATGCTTAAATTCACGGCCGAGACCCCCTACCGACCGCAATGGAACGCCAGAATGGGTATGATCCCGTATCGCGCCCCCCTAAATATGATTGGGAACATGTGGTGAATGAAATTGCTCCCGCTGAATTAAAGTCGCAATAGCGACTCCCAAGACCATGGGAGCGCAAAGGCCGAAGACCACCGTGCTTCAATCGGGGGTGCCCTGTATGGACACCTGCCTCTGCAGCTCAGGGGGCGCTAAAGGTGGCATGTGAAGGGAGCACAAGCAGGCTGGGGCGCGAGGACATGGAAGCAACAACAAAGCGAGATAATGCCCGACTTCTGCTTCTGCCTTCTCCACGCCCCACCCTGCCCTCCGGACGATGTGGGGCGGGAAGACCCGCGAAGCGAATGCACGGCGGAAGATATTCCCGAACTCCTGATCAAGACAACCGTGAAAGCTGGGCTAAATAGCGAAAACAAAGAACAAAACAGGACGGTCAAACATGCGTTAGAGACCTTTCACTCCGCAAGAAAAACCACTGTTTGGAAACTCCTGCCGCTTCCTCTCTGTCGATGCATCCGTGCATGCGTCTGTTTCTGACTGTGTCTCTCTGACAATGTCTCACCACACCGCTCCTTCCATTTGAGCAGGGACCGACCGTCTCGTCATTCCTGTAAGCCTACCACGACATGTTCTTAGAACCCAAAAATGTTCTAAAAACAACAACTATGTTCTGATAACACAACCCCTATGTGCTAGAACACGGCAGTCTAAGCCAGCAAGGTTCCAAGAACATTTCGTGCAAGCCACAAAAGGTTATCATAACATTCTTCGTAGGCCTATAAGAGAGCTGGGACGCTTCGCCCCTGCGTGATCCATAGGTGCCCTTCCCAACATGTCCAGCTCCTGCCCGGCTCTGCTTGTAGGTAAGTTTGCCGAGTATCAATGTACACGACACCGTCCCCTGAAGCACGCACGCGCTCGAGTGTCCCCGGGTCCCTTTGGGTACTGCGTCCTGAGTACTGGATGAAAGAATCGTGCCCTACAGCGGAGGCCAGTCCACAAGAAGGAGGAAGAGGAGGAGGAGGAGGAGAAGGAGGAGGAGGAGGAGGAGGAGGAGGAGGAGAAGGGGCGACGAGAATGGATTTCTTGAGCGCGTGCTGGCGTACTCCGATGCCGCTGGCGTGCTGCCACGCCTGGGGCCACGCCCTGGAGATCTCAGGAGGCCCCAACGCAGGGAGAGCGAGGCGGGGGCTTACAGTAGGGGCCCGACCACAAGAAACCTTCCACAAGAAACCCAACCCTGAGACCCCAGGACGTCCATCGACATGTGGTGGGAAAACGCCGCGCCTTCCATAGCAAAACCATCGAAACCCCAGAAACCCAGGGCACTCTGGAGGCAAGCAGGGTGTTTCTTGGCGTGGGCCCCCACTGTATTCATCGCTCCGACGTCCAGGTGAGCGTTTTTTCTATTCTGCGTTTCGATATCGGGCGGAAGGGGGGTTAAGGGGGTCTGGCCACGGACCCCTGCTTAGTGCGACTGTTTGCAACCGTGCATCCTGTGGAGGAGGAATACGACCTGCTCGAAACAGGCGCCAAAAAACAGCCAAGATCTACTCCAAATGGGGTGGACGGGGGGGGGGGGGGGCGACGGTCCGCGCCGATCGGCAAAACCATGAAAAAAGAAACGATCACCAGTTCCAGGGCATTGTTTGGTCTCGTGCGCGTGTTTGTTCTCAAGGGGATCCGGGATGCCCCGAGGTGGTCCAGAATTTCTGGCGCTGACCTCGCTGACGAACGCTGCACACGTCCGACCGACGCCAAGCAAAGGGCCAGGAGCATGAGTTCTGGGTTTCCCCAGGGCGTGGCGCGGCTTCTCGCACGACTTCTTCGGAGTCAAGAGGGCCAGAAAGCTAGCCAAGAGGGCCCCAGGAGGCCCCGAAGACGGTCCAAGAGGGCACCAGGTTTCGAACAGATCTTTGAAAGGCTGCCAAGAGGGCCTCTAGATGGCCCAAGAAGCTCCGAAGACGTTCCACGAGGGCTCCGAGAGGCCCCCCAAGAGGGCCCCCAGAGGCAAATATCATTGATTGTCCATGAGTTGCTGAAGGATTCGGGCGCTCTCGCTTTTTCGGCTTTCCGACGATCCAAGACTGCCGGGGGGGCCCCAAGATCGCCCTGAGACCCAATCCATACATGCCAGAAGAGCCACAAGACGGCCCAAGAGGCCAATGAGACAGTTCCAAGAGGAACCCAAGCGGGGCCCCAGAGGGGACACATGATCCAACAAGTCGAGGGGTCCGGCCCAAGGCGATACCCGAGACCGCCAGCACGCCCCCGAGAAGCCCCCCAGAAGCTTCAGGAGGCCCCAAGATGCCCAAGTCAGACCCCAAGATGCCCCGTAAGAGGTTCCCGAGAGGCCGCGACGACACCTCCAAATAGCCTTCAATTCAAGGGGCTCCCGATCTGCCCACCAAGAGATCGCCACATGCATCTAAGGAGCATCCGACCTACTAACTTGGCAAAGTGGCGGAATGGGCCAAAGGCCCTTAAATATGCATCCCCCTCTCTCTGTCTTCTCTCTCTCTCTCTTTCTTGTTTGTGTTGTTGTTTATTGTTTTTTTTTGCTTTCTCTCTCTCTCTCTCTGTATACACCGACATAGATGTGTGCATCATTCTCTAGGAGCATATGTGTTCGCCTCTGCTTGCCTGCCTCACGGTACATGTGTACATGTATACATGACCGTGCTCCTATGTATAAACGCCTTACGCATACAATGTTCCTGACAATGTGGTCGCCCCCTCAAGGTCATACATTTGCAATCCCCTCACGTTGCTCTTCCTCCTTCTCGTGGGTTCCGCCATGCTCCATGTAAGTCATTAGTGTTCCGTGTAAGGCACATCTGAAATCTGTGTTTTCATAGATCCCCAAGCCGACACTTGGACAACATGGTGGTCGCGAGCCTGCCCGCGTTCCCTGGCGTTCTCGCACACTGGGGCACGTGGTGATTCAACCGTTCACGCCCGTCACCTGAAGAACCACACTGTGTGCGTAAACAGGCGAAGCACGTCCGACAGCTGAAACCCGTCGCATGCTCCCGCTGCGCCAGATCCTTCCAAGCACTACACTCCGTGCCGTATAAGACAGCCCTCGAATGTGGACTAGCCCTCTCCCCTCCCCGCCTGCTTCTGTCTACAAATTCGCCCTCGCGATCTCCCGACCTGATCCAACTGCAGCGGCGACGTCCCACATTGACCAGAAGCGTGGCGGCTGGAATCCATAGTGCGTGTTCCAGCGTCCCCCGTTTTGTGGGGCACGATGGGCCTTGGCCGAGCCGGGCAAGCTGACCAAGACAGTGTGCTCGAGCTTCTGCCGCATCTGGAAGAACCAAGAACACAGACGCGGCGTTCCAACTCCCAAGCCTGTCTGCATTGTTCTGCCGTGTTCATGTGCACTCGTCTCGTCCGTCTCGTCTCCCCGCCCTCGCCTGTTCCCCATCTCCCTCCCCGTGCTAAATATCATCCCCACTTCCCTCCTCCTCCCCCTAGGAGGGAGGGGGAGAAAGAGGGAGACAGCGAAAGAAGGGAACAGTGAGAAAGAGGGGGAGAGAGAGCAAGGGAGCGAGAGAGAGAGAGAGAGAAAGAGCGAGTCCCCTCACACTCTCTCGCTCCACATGTTAGATGAGGAGGGTGGAATGTACGTTGCCTGGCACAGGAAATAAACAAGAAACGGTGATAGAATAAGCCGCAGCGGGGGAGAGGCTTACTAACACAAGGATCAGATGCGATACTTAGAAATGAGAAATAATTATCAAAAAGTCTCCCCCGTCCCCACCCCCCACCCCCGTCGAGTGCATCGGTACCACCCTCTCTACAGCGCCTCCATAGAATACACTTGTCCTCCAGGGATTTCGATTGCCGATGTGTTCGACCACCATATGGAAAAAGTCGGGCTCACCTCAATGTTCCTCCGACCTCCCCCTCTCATTCCAGCTCTACCTCTATCTCTCTCTCGCTCACTTACTCTCTCTCTCTCTGTTATTGTGTTTCTTCTCTTTCTCTCTCTCTCTCTCTATAGTTCTCCCTCACCTGCTGCTCTGGTTTCTGCCCCCCCCGCCGCATGCAGCTCCTTCGATAGGCCCCCGATGCCCAGCTCTTCGAAGTTGAAGTCCGGGCGGAAGATGCTGCGCTGCTGGACCTTTGCCCAGCAGGAACACACGGCCCAATTGGGAGGAGAAGCTCCCTGTCTTCATCCTGCTCCTGCTCCTCACCTTCATCTCCCCCTTCCCGTCCCCGTCCCCGTCCTCCTCCTCCTCCTCCTTCTCCTCCTCCTCCTCATCCTCCTCGTTCTTCTCCATGCCTCGCCGTGAGACTTCCTCACCATCCACGCTCCTGAAGCTCAGCATTTGCAGCAGCTTCGCGGATGGAGGGCGGGTCGTCTTCAATATCCTGCTCCTCTGTTACCTCTCCTACCCCTTACACCACTCATCCGTATCATTCCCGCTTGCATCCCCCAACTATCCTCCCACCCTCTCCTCCTCCTCCTCCTCCTCCTCCTCCTCCTCCTCCTCCTCCTCCTCCTCCCATTCCTTGCCAAACCACTTCTCCCTACGAAGAAAGGCGGTGTAGGATGAGAAAGCAGGTTTCCGTTGCAACCAAAGGGAACTGACGCATCAACTGGATGAGCAGGAAAAACACCATGACCAAGGAGGGAGCGAGCAAATGAACACCATGGTGACATTGGCTTATGAGATCAGGTGGCCCCCGAAAGGGGAATAAAAACGTGAGGCGGGACTGGGATCCGATACGCCCGACATTCTCGGGCGATATCGTTCGTTGCTCTTACTCTCTAGACCAAGGGCCCGAACAAATCCGTGATAAAATGTCCCTCGGAGACTGCAGCAACGCAAACACGGCAAACTGACAACGGACGGAATCCGTACATGCTGGATTCACAATGCGATTGATCCAAAATCAGAAAGAAGCATATCTACTCGCACTGCCTGCGCGTGGGTAGCCTTCGCTGACCTAGATCATGGCCACCATTACGGCTGGACCTCGTCATCCACCTCTGCCGTAAATCGATTGCCACAGCGTGCCGTACGTTTGTTTGGCTTGCAACATGTCAACCGCGCAAACGTAATGGCCCCCAAAGTGGTCTCGGAATAATGATCACGTTGGTATTGGAGTACTGAGTACGTTTGACACGAACGCGCATTATCTCACTGAGTAGCGACTCTTATGATCCCACGGCGCCGCTCGAGAACAATAGCCCTCCCCACGGACAGCGGGTCTCGGCGATGCGCCAGCAAAACACCAAACAAAATGCCGTACCAACTCCCCCCCTGTAACACCGGCAATCGCGCTGGTTGTCAGGATTCAGAGCCTGAGGGTTCACGTGAAGATCAGAGCCGGTGGGTTGCTTGAACCGTACGCGCAGACCGCTCACTCACCAATTCACACGCAGACTCACTCACGCCCAGACCCGCTCGTACTCATCTGAGCCCTTCCCAAGCCCAAACACACAATCCTAACGATGCATGCACTCAGACTCGCTCACACTCAGATTCGATCGCACTCAGGCGCGCTGGTATCCCGACGAGCCACCCACACTCGATGAAGCAGGCGCGGCACCTGGCAACCAATGGGGTAGCCGCCAAGGGGTACATAATAATGGGCCCGGCCGTGTGTTTTCAAGTGGCCCGCCTGCTTTTGCACCTCGACATCGACCCCTGTCCTAAGTCACCTAATCTCGCGCATCGCGTCCCGCGGTGCGCGCCACGCGCTTACCTGGGCGCCTTCGTGAGGCCACCTTGCCACCTTGGAGACAGGCACCTCTCTTGCTGAGGCCGCGACACGCGAAGCGACTATCTCCGCGCCACGGGGGCGACCTCGCCTTCCAGAGCACCGCGATCACCGTGATGGAGCAGGCGCGGCACTGACGCTCACCAAAGGGGAGCCGCCAGGGTGTTTATAACGCGCCCGTTCGCGTTCAGATTTGGGATCTGCTTCGGATGGTTCGCACGCGTTGGCACCCCAACGCTGTCCCCTTTCAGAGCCACACGATCGCTGCGATGCAGTCGACCGGGGGTGCATCCTGGCCCCGTTCGCGTCCAGATGTGTGGACAGGCTCGGATGGAATGCCAGTGCTGGCACCCCAGCACGATCTGCTTTCAGGGCTGCATAACCGTTGCGATGTAGCAGGCGCACCAGTTGGGCAACGCTAAGGAAAGCCGCCAGAGAAGTACCACAGGGTCCATTCGCGTCCAGAGTTGCGTTCGCTCTCAAGTAGAACGCCTGTTTTGGTCCCCCCCATGCCTATACCTCTCCCTTCGAGGGCCCCATGATCCTGAGGCAAATCACTGGAGCACCCCAATAGGCCGACGATGGATGTGTGCCGGAGGTATCAAAACCGTACTCGTGTCTAGATGTGTACCCGCTCCTATGCAGAACCCGCTTTTGACGCGCACACACACACAGACGCCCTCTTATTTCGGAACTCGATGCCCGCTGCGCCGTAGTTGGCATAACAGTTTGGCACTTCAGCTGGGAGACGACCAGGGGCGCATCACGGACCTCAGGGCGCCGCCCAGCCTCGCTCAGACTCAGGAGCTCACGCGGCATGAACTCGCCAGGAAAAAAAAACGGCTCACACGGCATGAACTCGCCAGACAAAAAAACTCGGCGGCGAGCCCAGGGGGGAACGTGAGAAGGGGCGGGCCTTCTCAGAAGGCTCGGAAGTCCCCTGGCCGTCTGACAAGTGTTTTAAGCCTTCCCCGAAGACTCAAGGTTAGTCAGCTTGGACCCCTAAACAGTAGGTTCTTGCAGTCTATACGGTGCGATCAACGTGGTGCAATGTATGCGATGTAACGTCGTACGTGATGCAATCCATGGGGTGCAATCCTTGTGGTGCAATCTACGCGGTGCAACCGATGTAATACAACATATGCGATGCAATCGTTGTGGTGCAATTTACGCGCGGCAAGCGATGTACTGCAATACATGCGGTGCAATATGTGCGGTGCCATCTATGTGGTGCAATCTAGGTGGTGCAATCTACGCGCGGCAAGCTATGTAATGCAATAGGTGCGGTGTAATCTATGTTGTGCAATTCACTTTGACTGTCTTGAAGCTGTCCTCTCCACTGCTGGTGCAAACATCCCGTCCTCACACCCGCAACTTGGTCGCAAGACTTCTTAAGTCCGTGAAGGTGGGTACCAAAAGGCACTTGGCAGCGACAGCGACGCCGCCGACGACGACGACGACGACAGCGACAACGACGACGACGCCGACGACGACTACGGCTACACCGACGACTTCTCCGACGATTTCGACGACGACAACGACGACGACGACGACACCGACGACGACGACGCCGCCGACGACGACGACGACGATGACGGAGCCGACGACGACGACGGCGACGACGCCGACGACGAGGAAGACGATGACGACGACGACGACGATGACGTCGCCAACGAAGGCGACAACGACGACGAGGGAGGAGGGAGGACGACGACGGCGACAACGACGACAATGACGAGGGAGGAGGAAGGACGGCGACGACGCGATCAACGAAGGAGGAGGGAGGACGGCGACGCCGACGACGACAACGACGAGGAAGGAGGGAAGACGACGACGACGACGACGGCGACGAAATAGGAGGGACGACGACGAGTCGCCGACGACGAACGACGACGACGACGACGAGGGATAAGAACGACCACGGCGACAACGACGACGGAAAAGACGACGACGCCAAAGAGGACGACGACGAAGAAAGACAGAGGACGACGACGGCGACGACGACGACGACGACGACGAGGGAGGAGGGAGGACGGCGGCGACGACGACGACGCAAGAGCGCGCGCGCGCTTTTCATGAAAATCCGTGTTGCGAAACTATTTGTTTGTATGTTTTTGGAAACTCGATTCTAAAATCCTTCCGAAACCGAAAGGTTTTTGATAGATTCCAGCATGCGCGCGCGACGACGCGAGCACGTGCACTCCGTCAACTTTTTTGCATAGGGTTCTCGCGACGGCACGCGCGCAAGGGCGTGCGAACGATTTCGACATGCGCGCGCGAAGCCCGTTTGGTAGCATGTGTTGAGAATGTTGAAAAACTCATGGTGTTCTTGAGATTTCGCAAGAGCGCGCGTGTCAGCTGGTTTAGGGGATCAGTGTTGTGAAACCTTGTGTTTTTGTATATTCTGGGGGAACTCAATTTTGAAATGCTTCCGAAACCTACAATGTTTTGGCATGCGCGCGCGACGACGCGCGCGTGTTATTTGTTTGCAAGGGATTCTTGGAAGCTCATGATTTTTGATAAACGAGTGCGCGCGCATAATATCTGTTGCAGAGGATGGCGGGGGGGGCCATGCCCATGCCAATTTGGCGAGGATAATATGAATTCGCAAGTCGGATGGACATTGGGTCAGAATCCTATGTGCTCGCATCGGTTCCCGGGGAATCGTTACCCCGGGGGGGGAGGGTGGTATAATCTTCTTTATGAGAAAAATCTATGCGACGGCGACGGCGGCAAGGGGCGGCACTGCCCGCAAAAGCTGCCACTCGCCCCGAGCAGCGGCGACGGCGACGGCCCGCGACGTCGGCGACGGGCGGCACCACCCGCAAAAGCCGCCACTCGCCCCGAGAGGCGGCGATGGCAACGGCGACGGCGACGGCGGCGACGGGCGGCACCGTCCGCAGAAGCCGCCATTCACCACGAGATGGTTGAGCCAAGTAAGAACCCCAAGTGCAAGCACTGTTTGGGGAAAACAACCACTCGGAAGCAGCGAGGGCTTCTAAGAAGCCCCGCCACCATCTGAGAAGGCCGTCTCCTTCTCGCTTCCCCCCCTGGCTCGCCCGCCGAGAGATGCACACCTTGGGGCCCCCGTGTCGAGCAGGGCTCCTGATCTCCGGCCTGTTCGCGGCCACTCTCCATGCAAATGGCTCGCGACACGCGCCTGGCCGTGGCAGCGAAGCGGCGCCCTCGGGCGCCGAGACAAGGCACCGGTCAGCCAGGAAAGGGACAGAAGAAGGCAGTCGGACCTACGCAGGCCAGGAGAACATCTTTCAAGAACAGGGGACCCTCCGCCGGCCACCACACCCCTTACAAAAGTATCGCTCGAGGGTGCCCTCCCCCAGGATGCACAAGAACATCCAACAAACACGAATAATATCCTCTCCGTAGCGACCTCGATCTTATACCTCGGTCCGACTGTAATAACAGAAGAAGGCCGAGAGCAGTAGACATATGTACAGAAATATGAGTGCGACGGCGACTACGTACGCCGATGGGAGCGAGGGTGAGAAGGAGGGAACTGCCAGGGACGGAGGACCCTACCCCAACGACAAGAGGACCTGCCCCAGCGACAAGGGGAGGAGCCTACCCAAACGACAGAGGAACCTACCCCCTACCCCATCGAAAAAGGGGGATCTCGGCGACAAAGAGGAGGAGCCTACCCCGACGACCCTCGGTATCAAATATGGATCCAGCAAAAAGTCAAGCGTCAACGGCTACGCTGTCCAACCTCGTGAGCACGTAAACGAACCAACAACGTATCGGGCATGTCAATTGTGTTTCCCCCATTCGGCCTTTGCTTTGAACTGCGTTTCATCGCAATGTTTGCATTGCTTTAGAGTGTTTCGCGTTGCGTTGCTTTGCTGCTTCGAATTGCTTCAAATGCGAAGTTTCGCATTGCGTTCCATTGCTTCGGTTGAGCTGCATTGTGATGCAGTGATCTGTTTGGCGTTACTAGGTGTTGCTTGGCATGGGTTCGATATGATTCGAGCTGCTTCGCCTTGCACTGCAAGTCGCTGCATTTCGTTGTGTTGAATTGTGTTGAAAAGCTTTGCGCTGCATTCCATTGCATGAGTATGACACGACCACGAATTAGGGTCGTACCAGGTTAACATGAACAACGAACCGCACGTCCTGCACTTGTGCATGGCAGGCTTCGGGTAAGCGTCTACACATTCGCTGCGTGCCACGCGAAGGCGTGAATCTACTACCTGAACACATGATAAGTTGAACTTCAGTGCTCCCTTTCTCTTTCCCCCACCCCTGGGTCAAGAACTCCTGCTCACACCAGGCCTCTGCGCTGGCACTCCCTGCCACTGGCCTCCAGTGAAGCGGCCAGCGATAGGCGTGGCAGAACCCCACCGGCGGGCCGCAGACCTTGTCACTAATGACGTGCAGCTTCCCCGACGAGCCGTGGGTGAACTCTATCTCCGTCGATGCTTCCAACATGCCCTGGACTATCTTGCCGGGCGCCTGGAGGCAGCGAGGCGTGCACGAGAAGAGCCTGGCGCCACGGCGTCCACAAGCTGACGGGGGGGCCCAGGCGCTGGCCAACAAGGCATGGACGACGCAGCGGTCCCCTCTGATGCGTGCAGTTCCTAAAACGACGCGAAGATCGGGACAAAATCGGATCGGGATAACTCGAAATCTCTGAGAATCGGCGGGTTTGGAGGATGTATTGGGCGCCGCGGCCGCTCCAGAGCGTTCCAGAAAGCTCTGAGAGCGCTCCGGAACGCTCTGGAGCGATTTATCCCGATCCTAGCCCTGTTTTAGTTCTGGGGGTGGACAGAGAATTGCGCAGACGCGCACATTTTGCAGACGATAAGGGGAACCAACATGGGCCGGCCGCCACGGGAAGGTAGCAACCGAGATCGCAAGCGGTGGTGGCGTGGTGTCCCACGACGGCGCAAAGGGAAGGACAGCATTTCTCTTTGCGGGGGGGCAGTGCGTACGAACGTGCAGACCGAGCGCTCCGTCGGAGCCACGGCTTTCAACGCCAACGCTGGGGGCTCAGACACCAAGGGGCGACGAGCATACGCCGTGTGCTCCCTGGTGCCCTGGGCTGCCGCCATCCCACGTGCTCGCCAGGCGCGCTGCTTGCATTCCTTCCTCTTCCTCCTCCTCCTCCTCCTCCTCCTCTTCCTCCTCCTGAGCCTCATCCACTGCGCTCTGTTTGTTACCCGTTCTCGCCGCTGGGCCCCTTTCGGATGGTGAAGACATGATCCCTGGTGCCCCGTCACAGCACAAACGCTCGACTCTGGCACGAAGACCATATACATCTTGCCCCCACTCTGGGGTGCGTTCACTCCCGCTGGCTTCCGCCACAGTTTCAACGGCTCCTGCCAACAGGACCAATACAGCCCTGCTTGTGCTAGGAACGTGGGCAAAGAAATCGGACGTCACTCGAATCGTTTTCTCAGACGGAGTCCAGGTCCAGGCACACGGAAGTTCTACGGAACGGGGAAGGTCCGAGGAAACGCCAAGGATCCAGTCCAGAGCCTTGCTTTTCTTGCAAGGAGCCTCGAGCCCATGGAAGTTGCTGTTGTGCATGTCTGATGAGTAATGGGAAACCTCCGCCAGCTACAGCAAACCTTCTACCTCAAATCGTTCCAGCGTTCGCATAGGACGAGGCATCTTGAGTGGCCATGGCCGACGCTGCAAGAATTACCCAGCGCGCCCGAAGGATCTGTTCCGGGGCGCGGACGTGACTGCACCCCGATGGATCCCGACAAGACTGCTCATCTTGTGCATTCGTACTCGGCAGACAAGTTCAGACGTAAGGCGAAGACAAAGCATCATGTTATACATTGCAACAGCACGGCGAAACTGAACACAGCGCATGGGCATGTTCTGTCACTCAGGAAGGCGCCAAGGAAAAGCACGAGCGTGGGGCAAACCAGCGGGCAGCCATGGACTTGAAGAATCATTCGTCGCTTTTCCACTGACCAGCGACTGCACACAGCCTTTCGGCACCGCTGCTGTGGCTGCCCCTTCCCTACATCCCCGGAACCTCGCCAGAGCCGAGATCTAGGCCTGCCATGCCCAACACGACGATCTTGAGGGTATTGGCCTCGAGTTCGAATGCACACAGTGATCGTCGTGGATTAGCACACATGGGGCAACAGCTCAGGTGTACAACGACCAACAAAGAAGGTTAAAGGTATGATAGGCACATTCCGAAAAGCCTCCAAGAACTGGTACCACTGTGACGAATTCTGCCGGAAACGGGTCCTGCATCCCCGGGCCTTCTACTGGGACACATGTTTCATCCTGAGCCGTTTTTGTTTACCATCCCGGGGACCGTCGAGACCCCCGGGAGGCAGAACGTGACAAGCAAAAAGCTTCATGACCCCTTCTCCTCAGGACTCCTTTGCTTGGACGGCGGAAGACTGAGATTGCACGAATCGCCCAGCAAAGCAAGACAGAGAAAGAGAGAGAGAGAGAGAGAATGAGAATGAGAAAGAACATCCAAAGCAAAAGAAATGAAAATGCTGCTTCGCCGGGTCGTGGCAACGGCGCCCCCACTGGAAGTGGGGCGGAAGACGTGTCGGCTATTTTCTTTGTGAACTATGCTCTTCCCATAAGAACAGCAGAATCGCCGGCCCGCGCTTGCAACAATTGAAAGTACGCATACCTTTCGGTCAGTGCCCGCAAATGTGGCAGATGAGGGAAAAGGGGAAAGGAGCAAACTGTAGGCTCCCTCTACTGCTTCTGCGATGGTGCCGCCGCTGCTGACGTCACGACCGCGTCATGTGTTCGTGTTCTTGCTCATGCTCCTGCTTCTCCTCGTGCCGATAGTTTCCCGCAGTCTCCTCCTCCTCCTCCTCCTTCTCCTCCTCCTCCTCCTCCTCCTCCTCCTCCTCCCTCCCGTCATTCTCTGGTGAGAGGTCGAAAGTTTCGTTCGTCTTGTGCTGGAGGCCAATCTTAATCAATGCATTGGCGGATTAGCAACGCATAGTGGCACACAGCTGCAAATAGCGGCAACGGGCTACTGGCAAACAGCGGCCCGCGCCAAGCGTCCATCACTTGCCCCCCCTGTTCGCCACTGCTGGCCGCTGAACGCCACAAACAACTCCCAGCTACAGGCGGCGAGGTGAGAACGCCGTGACGAACGAGGAGCAACCGAAGGCTTTCGGGGCGGAGCACACAGGGAAGCAGTCGGGGAGATCTGGAGGGTACGCACATTGGATTTCTAATGAAAACGTATGATAAGGACGGGTGGTAAGGCCACAAGACCCATGGAGGCCGAAGTTGGGATTTGTTGGGCGGCGGCCTGAAAGGCTGGCCAGTGGGAGCGGCAGAGGACGGGCCGCAGAGGCAAGGACACAAGGGTACCCCAGAAAAGGCGCGCGTCCTTACTATGCGCGTCGGCTGTCAGGTAAAGTGTCACGCAGCCCTAAAGTGGCCAAGGGAAGAACGTGTTGCTGCAATGAGTGGTGCTTGCGGAAGGGAAGGGCCCGTTGGCATGCGCCGAGACCGCAGAAAAGCCAAAACAAACGAGCGAACATCCGTGTGCAATTCCACCGCGCAAACAACACCACGTGTACGGGAAGTGGCGGGCACGCGGCCTGGAAAAGATCCGTGGAGCGAACAGGGTTCTAATCATCATGGGTACAGTAGCTTCGCGCGGGGTCACCGCGGATCGATCGGGTCCAACGGGGGCACCGTAGAGCTTCCGCGTCGCAGAATTCAACCTTGAACGCCTTCCCCAGCGTCGCCGGCGCGCCATCGCCGCAGGAACCTACCGTGCGGTGTCCATGCAACCAGCAGGAGCGCTGAACAAGCAACGATCGGCGGTGGACAAACCTCCCTTTAATAGACCTCCCCTTAGTGAAAACGGCCTGGGACCGAAACCGACGGACCTGGACCCGCAAAAATGACGGCCGCGACGCCCTCTCGCGAACCGAAAACGGCCAATTCCTAAATCGACGTGTCAGGGTAGGAGGTCTGTCCACCCCCGAAACGAAGAGGCTCTGCTGGACACGGCGGGCCCCCGCCGCGCAAAACAGTCGCCCAACTTATAGACTCGAGGAGCGGCCCGGACACGAGAGCCCCCATCCTGAGCCCAGTGGTCCTTATCGCAGCAACTGAAGGGTAATATTAGGTCGGGCGTGTTCCCCTGCAGGGGGACTTTGGACGAATAATGAAGAATTATAAAACGTACACCAAACATGCAAAACAAATAGTCAACAAATCATCCCCTAACTATTTTTGACTATTTTTGAAGATTCCCCCTGTAGAGGGGCACGCCCGACTTAAGGGTAGCTACTATAAGAAAAAAGAAGAGCACCGGGGAGGGGGGAGGTAGGAGAGGCAGAGAGGGCAAGCTACGCGCGCACACACCATGTGTGGCATCCTGCTCCTCCGACTTCTCCTTTCCCATTGCGCTGATTGGTCTCCATCCGCCGACGGGTGTCCTCGCGGACCAGGATCCCCCGAGTGACCCCATCGTGTGACGCGCAAACAGAGATGACGCTGTATGTCGGGAGAGGAGAAGGTGGCGGATGTGCAGGGAGAGGAGCAGGAATGTACTAATGAGAAAGAAAGAGGAAGCGGAACAGCAGCATACATAGCAGGAGTAGGAGGAGCGAGATGAACAGGGGGACCAGGGAACAACGACGATTGAAATGGAAGGAGCGACATCGACGAGGAACACATCGGATCCAGAAATGGAGCGCCTTTCTGAAATGGACGGCAGCAGAGCCCCGATCCTGAAATAAGGCCAACGCTGCAGCAAGAACACCATCAGATTCCCCAATCAGTGCTTGCACTTGAGGAGTCCTCGCGGATGTTGAAGGATTTGGCGAAAACTTCCCGCAGATTTTGGTTGCTGACTGGGTTCCCTGGTTCCCGGTTCTGGGTTCCTGGGTTCCCGGATCCGGCTTCTGGGCCGAATTCGGAAGGCGGCGAGGTTCCCGGGTTCCCGGGTTCTTGATCGATCTTCTTATCGATCGGTCTCACCATCGATCTCATTACCAACTCCTCTATCGATCTCACCATCCATCTCAAAATCGATCTCACTATCGATCTCACAAGCGATCTCACTAGAGATCGCATGAGCGATCTCGCGATCGATCTCACGATCGATCTCATTGAATCGGTTTCACTCTCGGTCTCACGATCGGCCTTACAATCGTCCTCACTATCGATTCCACTATCGATCTCACTATCGATCTCAGCATCGATCTCAAGATCCATAGTACTCATTTTCAAATCATCCACTGATTGGGTTCTCTCAGGTGTCATTCGACCAATTCTGAGCATTGTCGAATCTCATTGGGGGTATTTTTCACTTTTCGTCCTAGATCCGCCTGTAGGGTGACACGCCCGACCTGACAGAAACTGCCGGAGCTCCGCGCTGATGTCTTGGATCGGCGCTGGGCCCTTGGCGCGCTCCGCGCACCCGGGAGGGGGGCCACTGCGGGTCCAAGAGATCCGCGCGGACCGTCGGAGGTTTACGCGTGTGCTCCTCTTGGCCCATTGAGACTGAAGGCGTGGAGCCGAACTCCACATACTAAATTCTGACTTGTCTTGAAGATTCCTCCTGTAGAGGGACACGCCCTTAGTGGGCCCCGGAAGCGGCAGGGCCTTTTTGTCACCGCTTCCGAAAAAGTCACTTGGAACTGGAAACAGCAAAAAACGGCGACCGGAAACGGCGACAAAAACGGCTCCAAAATTGGAACCGGAGCCGGAACCCGTAAAAGAACGGCGACGGAACCGTTAACAAAAACGGCGTCGGAACCGGCAACAAAAATAGTAGAACGGAACCGGTAAAAAACGGCCCCGTCGTTTCCAGGGCCCACTAAGGACACGCCCGACGTCAATTACCTACCTAGGCTCTGCCTAGAAGGGTTCTTACTCGCTTGGCTTAAAGGGGCCGGGCAGTGCGAACCGCCCAGGGCGGTTCCCCCAGTCCCCTGGGAGCCAAGCAAAAGCAACAGCAAAGGTAAAAGCAACCGCGCGGTTCCCCCAGGAGGAGAAGGAGGAGGACGGAGTTTACCGCTCCTACTAATGTTGCTTTCCTAGAGGCTCCAACTCCTAGGTAGGGTCGCACTGGGATAATTGCATGTTT